TCATATGTTGGCCACAACTTGAAGGCTAATGTTCCATTGGAAGAGAGCTGGTTGATAAAGCTTTATAACCTTGCATAAATTTATAAGCTGATGATTTTGATTAAAGATAAAACATTATCAGATTTTTAAAAAGACTGGGAGTTAATAATTGCTTATCTGAAACAATTTGAGGAGGTTTGCACTATTAGAATTTGAAGAATAGTAGGCTCTGTTATTAATGTAGAAGTTAATTAAAACTTTTAGTGGGGCTGATCAAATTGATAACTGGAACGATCAGTTACAAATTTGGAAGTCATTTGTTGTCCTTTGTATTAGTAGTTTGCTAGATTTTATTTTAGATTTGTTATTGTAATAGTATAACAACAAGTATTACTATTACTATTGTTATTCTCTTGTATTTTCTGGGTTTTTTGTTTGACTAACTATTATCTTGAATTTTTGTAGCTTTCTAATTTTTTAGTTTGCAGCATTTTCCCTATGTGTTGTTCTATATAGATAATGTGTTAGTAAATATTTTTAAAAATTCAGTTTGTAACAAACTTCAGTTTTCCATTCATAACCATCAGTTGTACAGCTCTTTGAATCAGTTTTAAGACTGTTTGTCACTGTAATTTTTTGATCAACAAAGTGTAATTTTTCACAGTAACCAAAAATAAGCAAGTTTAGAATTGAGACTGCTATGCTTAAACCCCTTTGACTCAGTGTATCTTACTGAAATGAGTCTTAATTTCATCTTTGTGATTTAAATGTTGTAATTTCCCAATCCTGAAAGATTAACAAAAAGGAAGAAGTAGTTACAAAACTACAAAAGAACAATGTTTTAGGTAAAGAACAAGAGTAATACAACTTTATAGCTCTTCAGTATAGTGGCTTATTTAATTAAAGAATGACTTAATCAAAAAGAATTTTGGAGAAATGTTTATCTTGACATTCCAATGAAAGTCAATCACTTTATTTAAAATAGAAATTGCATTAAGTTGATCTTTTTAGGACTTCATCAGACGGGTGTGGGGAAAAGCAGGGGAAAGCAAAAGGAACCATCTTATCCTATTCCATCTTTTCCTTTCTTCTGGAATGGCTAGCTATCCCATGCCCTTTCTGTACCATTCCCAATTTTTCTCTGTTTTTCCTTGTTTTCTCCAGTTTTGAATTGGGCTACACTCAATTCTTGAAGATGGTCTTTGGGCTCCTTTTTTATTTCCATGGAGTCCCACCAAAAGTGCCCTTACATTACGTGATGGTCTCAGTGGAACTCCCATGAGGCAACATTTCTTAAACATATGGAAACAGAGCCCGAAGACCATCTGATGAAGACCTAAGTTAGTATACTCACAATTTAATCCATAACTTAATTTATATTGATTATTTAATTCCTATAAATGTGCTGATTAGCAAGATCATGTGAAATAATGTAATACAATGGAAAGATTGTTGTTCATGTTTTTGTAGTTTGGGAACCCACTGAGTCATTGTGGGTTTCTAAAACATAATCACTATCATCCCAGCCTACTGGGAACCAGCTGCTGTGCTTGATGAAGGTCTGTTTCCCTGCTATTTGGAAAGCAGCTAGGGACTTCATCCCATGCAGTAAACTCAGCATTTCTACACATTTAAGAAATAGCAACCCACGGTGCCCTTCACATGACACAAGCTTCAACTGTGAGGTTGTGGTATTTTGCTATTTCGAAAATGTTGGTTTCCCCAATGATTCCTAAGCTGGTTGACAATCAACTTATTTTTAAATTTCCCACTAGAGACAGGCAAAATGGCCATCTTACCCATGTAATGCATTTCAATGCCTTTCAAAGGGGAAATTTGCTTTGACATTCAAATAAATTGAGTTACGACCTTGGCCACAGAATGAATTAAACTCATATGTCAAGGTACTACCATAGTTACGAATACTCTAGGTTATATATTTGTAAACCTCCAACAGGATTTCATCTACGTTTGTTGATTTTGTTATTATTTTAGAGCTTGAGGGAAAATCAAAGCAGATCTGATCTTATTACTTCATATTAAGGGCAAAGCATATTTAAAGCATTAATTGGAAACAATGATGACTTTAAAAAATACCTTGCTCCATATTAAGGTATAATGTTGACTCTATGCAATTGTAAAGTTGATGTCAATTTGCAAATTCAATGTCATCAAAATCTGCTTTCAATAATAATACGTTATCACTGTTTTGCCACTTTGTTTATGATGTTCTAAGCTCAGATTTTTTTGTTCTGCCTCGTTCTAATCATTCCTCATACATCCTTTAGGCAGCAGTATGCGCTTAAATTCAGTCATGTTTTAAAAAACAACTTATTTGTCTGCTTTTCTGAACTGATAGTGTGGCTGGGGAAGAGATCATTTGAAACACAAAATCTCCAACATTTCATAGATGAAACCGCCTTGAATTGCCAAAAGGCCGAGAAAGGCGGTATACAAATACAGTAAATAAATAAATAAACTGTGTGACAAAATAGCACTGAGGTGTGGTTGTGTAGCAAGGCAACAAGAGGGTAAAATTATGAATGAGGAAGAACAACCAAACTATTATTACCATTTTAAACAGAGAAACTCTAAAAAAGAAAAAAGAAATCTAATATAGTACTTTCTCTGTGTGCATGTATGTGCTCAGCATTCTTAATGAGCAATATAACACTCAATTTGCAACAGCTAAAGTAAGCCAAATACCAAGGTAAAAATGAGAAGTAGAAAAAGAAACTAGGAAACATTAAAAGCAGGTGACAAAGCAGGAACACAGAGCATTATCCGGGGCCATTCCTGCCCAACTATGGAGGGTTTGGAGGCAGACATTCAGGCTGCTAGAGTCATCAAACAAACAAAACTGGTTGCTGTATCCTCAATGACAATTTTTTTTGTAGTTGCATAAAAATAGCTTCCATAGAATGGCTGACCTAACAGCTGTTAAAAGATTCCCTAGTGTTCTTCCTTCTCTCTTTTATCCACTTCATCCTAATCAGGCACTGCTAGTTCATTTTGGTTAAATCTTGCTGTCCAATAATGTAACAGGAAAGATTATGGTTCCAACAACCTACATATACCATGATGCAGTCAATGTGCCCCTGTCCAAACCTTCTCAGTCTTTTTAGGGTAGACCTGAAAATCCGAGCCTTTCCAATGTGGCATATGCTGGATTGGCCCAGGTATTGTTCACATAGGGACTCTGCTACGGAGAGCAGGAGGGAGCCCCAACCACCAAGTGGCACCAAACATGGGTTGACACCAGTAGATGGCCACCCTCCCATCTTCTGTATCATGGCAGTCTTTGGCTGTAACACAATTTCTACCTGTCCACTCCTGCCTCCAGTGGAGTAAGGAGGAAGGGGGAGAGCATCCCATTACCCTGACCAATGTCATTGCAGGCAATGGCAGAGGGCAGGAGGGATCTGGGATTGCCATCTCATGTCCCTGGGCCAGAATTTGGATTATCCTCTGACTTCAGTTAACAAAGAGCAAGGCTGTCTTGCCTAGCATTACCCTTCATCAGCTCTGTGTGGTGTCTGGCCAGCACAAAACTGACCCAGCCTTCACCAACTTAAGTGAATAATGTAGATGTGCCATCAGAGTGCTGTTGACTTTGAACCTTACAATTTTGTCTTTGTTGGGTACAACTAATGAGAGTTGAAGCCTAACGCCATCTGAAAGGACACATGCTCCTTAAACCCTACCATACAGTCTTTACTGTGTAGGAAAACAACACTAAAAAGCATTGAAAGGCTAGTACTGTGGCTAGGGATGAGAATATTCCCTCTTTCAAAACAAAATCAAGTAATACACTTCACCATGTGTCAGAACTGTCTTTGGGCACCTGCCCTACTCAAAATGCTCAGAGAATCACTTATTAATCACTGTAAAACTTTTCTTTTCCGGCAAGCTTTTGACGGGTGAACAACCCGAACTATGCCTGTTCTCGCCGCCTATTGTTTTGTTATTGTTATTTTTAAAGCTAATTGTATTGTTTTAATCTGCTTCTGTAAACCGCTCTGAGCCAAATTGGGGGGTAGCGGTATAAAAGTTAAATAAATAAATAGATAAATAAATAAATATTAGGGAGAAAAAGAATCTGTAGTATTTCAGACTTTGTTGGGCTATAACTATTACCCATCTCAACAAGCATGGGCAATGATTAGAGAATATAAAAACTCTCTGGATAATCTTTTTCATTCCAGGAACAATATCTGCAGAGGGGTGGGCTTTCTACCCCAGCTAAGAATATAATTTGCATGCCACCCAATGGGATCATGACAGATTCAATTACAAATGGAATTGAGGTCCTTAGACTGCATCTTCTTTGGAGAAATTTATTTTTATTGACATCAATGAGGAATTACTCCAAAGCATATAGCAAATGCAGAAATAAATTATTGCTCAGGGCTGTTATATGTGAAGAGAAGATTATTTATTTTATTCCACCACACCAATATTCATTAAAAAGGAACAATTTTAGATGCAAATATGACATTTCACTTCACATATAACTTCGCCTTCCCTGTAAGCTGCCACCAGGTCTTTCATATTGCTTCTTTAGATTTGGTCAGGAGAGGGCACTGCATTTCAGTCTGAGTCTAGCATAATTTTTATAGCTTCCTACTCTTGCAAAATGGTTTGGCCTTTTGAGAAATCCAACATCAGCTGTTCTTTGTGCATTTAGGAGGTGGGTTGTTCTGAAGCAGAATAGTAATAAACAAGTGGGGTATAATATTTGTAGGCCACTTTTTCTCTGCCAAAGGATAATCAAATAATATAGATGATATTTTAATAGATGTTATGTTCTTTTAAAAATAATCAACTTAAAGTTCTTCATGAAACCCTATTTAACTGCTTCATTGTGGCATGGAGCTGACTTCCCCAGGGATATAGCAGCAGAGCACAATCTCTGGAAGAGTCTACCAGTCTAGTAAGGTTTCTTGTATAGCCCTGAAAACAGATTTCATGTCTGCCATCTAAGAACATGCCTAGCAAAGAACAGATGCATGGTCATAACTAGAAGTTTGGCTACTAAATATGAACTGAAATGTCACCCTTGTACAGGTGCCATACTAAGCTTTGCTGTATCATTCCAATTTTAGTATGGGTGTCCCTGAAGCAAGCACTACAAAGTACTAACTGACCAATGGGACTTAGAAACACAATGACAATATAAGATAGTTGTGACTTTCATCGGTGGAGGGAATCCACATAATTAATGAAACAGTTGATTTTTGCAAAACCAATTCTCTCTTTGAATGCCTGTATCCATGAAGAAATATATTTTGTTAGAAGTGTGAGAGTGAAACAGTCATTCAATGGAAGGAGGAAAAGGAATGTAGGTTGGAGTCATGTCTTGTGGCTACCTCAGATCCTTGACCAGGGTGAAGATATTGGGGTGAGGAGACAAAGTGAAGGTGATACCACACTATCCTCAGTCCTCTTCAGCATTCCGTTGTTACTCCTAAACTCTAAGAAACCTGTCTGTACAGAGAAACCATAATCACTTAGAGCCCTTCCATACAGCCCTGTATCCTGGAATATCAAGGCAGAAAATCCCACAATATCTGCTTTGAACTGGGTTATCTGAGTCCACACACAGATAATGTGGGATTTTCTGCCTTGATATTCTGGGATAGAGGGCTGTGTGGAAGGGCCCTCAGAAAGGTAGAACAGAGATGCCGAAGGACAGTAAGAAGTCAAGTGATAGGATAGTTTTATGGTGATATTAAAATGCATCTAATTATATAGAGGGATCCTTTGTTAGTAATTTTAATTCTATTTAATTTGCCTCTTTAACAATACTTTTGAGGCATAAATTGTTTTGTCATAATCGTGCCATACCTGACATATTTTGCTCATGTTTGATTCTATAGATTCTAAGTAAACTTGGGTTTTCCATGTGTGAAGTTTATCCATTTTAGTCAGATAAGCTTAGACCATTCCAGTCCCACCAAAGTCAGAAAGATGTAGTTTAACATGAATAGAATTTCTCCAAATTTCAGCTATAACTGTTAGAAATGGTCACAGCGGTTACTGAAGAAGCATTATTCTTTTAGGCAACAAGATTCTTTTTATTAAAGTTCACACGAATAGTGGTGGTGATTATGTTATTTTTTTAAAAAAAACAAGAATATCTTATACAATGTGTTTTAAGAACATAGGAAGCTGCTTTATATTGAATCAGCCAATTACTTCATCTCACTCAGTTATGATCAGCTGGTATCCATAATTTGAACTGGTGGAGTTTCATGTTTAAACTTGTGCTGCAAGGCAGGACTGTATCACTCATCCTACCAAAGAGTGTTCACAAGTCCTCAACTTGCATTAGTTGTGAAGACATTTGGGAAGACAGTGATACTTTCTGATGCTCCATGCAAACATTGCAGTCCCCTCCTCCTCCAAGGTATGGTTGCTGTAATGTACATGTATATGTATGACTTAATGTGTGTAAAAGCAATCCCTAAGGTCTTTGCACCCCCATAACTAGACAACTCACAGTTGTGCTGGAAGCAGGATGGTGTTTTCCAGCATTTGTGGTAGCCATACATGCAATTGCTCAATATAATTGTCCCACTTTCTTTTATTTTCCAGTGTACAAATCAAGGGAATTTGTTTGATAGAAACCTGGCAGGGAGGGGCACAGCAGAAGTTTATGGAGGTCTATGTTTATTTGAAACTATGCAGAGGAGCAAGGATTGTAGCTGCCCTTGCCGTATCATTTTCTGTGCTTAAATTCTCTCCCTCCCTCAATTCCTCTCTTTTAAATAGGGTAATAATGTTATGAAGACATAAACACTGTTTAGTGTAAGAAGTTGAGATGGGCCTCCCAGATGATTTTTCCTTCACAGTGGTTCAGATAAAAACAGTGTGTTTTTGATTATTTAAACATGAAGAAGAAGCTTATGAGGATAACTTTATACTCTGCCTTCAGGAACTAAAAAGAGCAGAATGCAGATATACCAGAATTTAAATTCCTTGATTGCAAATTGCATGATTTCCCATCGTGCTTTAAGAAAGTTCTGGACAATAGCCAGCACAGTTTATTTAGAGAATAATTCATTATATACTTGTAGACAATTGCAAAGTTATAAAATGTGAGGTTAAATAGATATCAAATCATGTTTTTCATTAGACTTTTATATAAAAAGATAAATTTTATCCAAAATGAGTGCAACATTGTTGCCAATTAGGTCTCCATGGGGAGGACATTCTGCAATTGGGGTGCCAGCTCTAAGAAAGCATCCCCTCAGGTCACACATAGAAGAGCCCCTCCAGCAGACCTCAGTCCTCAGTTAGGCATCAATGTAACTGATTTAGTAGGATAATGCTTTAGAACCCAGAAGCAAAAGAGGGGAATGAAGAAAATCACATAAGAACTACCTAGCATCTGACACACTGACTCTTATCGGAAGATATAGTGCTATCTTAATTAATTTCATTGACTTGTGTATTGTTAGTCAAAGGCCTGAAGTGTTGTTCACACCTTAAAAGGAACTTGAATTCATAAACTTAAATTCATACTAATGGAAATTGTTATCATTTTATCATAATATGGTTTGTTTATTTGTTTTTTTTTATTCCTAATAGAAATTATTGGGACTTGGACCAAACCTAAACAGATTTGTTTGAAGAATGGTTGAAACATGGAAATTGCTCTTTCCAAAAAGAACCACAACATTTATCATGACTGTTCCCCTGAAAAGATGGAAAGAATCTGGGCAAATAAGATATGAAATAAGTTACAAGCACACCCAATGTATGTGCAACACTTAAATGAGAGTTCAAAATACCTTCATGAATAAAGTGGAGAAATGCACCGGATGTAGCCGTTTTTGTATTGAACATTGAAAGCAACACCAGGTCAAGGTACTGTGCTTAAAACCATCACAACTACAAAGACATTTCTAAATAGGGACAGAGCCACTTCCTCATACTGCATCATTTCCATTTTTCTAGAAAATGGAAGTGAAAAAAATCCTATAAGCCTCTTTTGTTGAATGGCAAGTTCTGTTGCTCTCTGATAAGCATGATGTGCCAAAAGCTTAGTTTCTAATGAGAGTTCAAAGCTAAACAGTTAAGTCATATCCACAGGGAGGGGCAAGAGCTCAGACCATATTCTCTGGGGTTTTTTTCCCAGTCTATTAACGTAGTCAACAAAACTGCCTTAAGAGATGCCCTGTTAGTTATTAACATTGTCTTCTGTGGCTGTTTACTTTGTGTTTTCATTTTTCAAAGTCTGGAACTTCAATAAAGCTCACTCCAACAATGGAGAAAGCACAACTGGTTGGTAGAATAGAAACAGTAGAGGTCTATACAGTTGTTTAGCTAGCCACCTGCAGCCATCCTGTGTCTGTTGGTAAGGTCAATTTTGCCTTTGGGGGAAGTGATTATAAGAGTCCCGTGTGAACAAAAATTTTGGAAGCATTTTAATAACATTTGAGCAAATGTGATTGCACTTTGTTTGATATGCTCTTGTATACGTTTTCCAGGTTGACTTCTGCAGATTTGGTTATTTGCAAATTTGATTAAAATGTTCTCCCTAGGAATTTCTACATCCTTCAGTGTGAGTCAATGGTCAACTTTAACCAGAACTCTATGGACAAACCTGGAGTCATGCTGAAGGATCTAGATCAGTGGTTCTCAACTGTGGGTCCTCAAGTGTTTTGGCCTACAACTCCCAGAAATCCCAGCCAATTTACCAGCTGTTAGGATTTCTGGGATTTGAAGGCCAAAACATCTGGGGACTCACAGGTTGAGAACCACTGATCTAGAGCTTCCTAGAAAAGTGTTCTCTCTGATAAAAAAAATACCTTTTTTAAATTTCTGGTTTTTTTCATTTTCATGGGGATCCTGCAACACTAACTGCAGTGAAAATGAAAGTAAGCCCCATTTTCCTAGTTTCCAAAAGACCTCACAACCTCTGAGGATGCCTGCCATAGATGCAGGTAAAATGTCAGGAGAGAATGCTTCTGGAATATGGCCATATAGCCCGAAAAACTTACAAGAACCCACTGATTCCAGCCATGAAAGCCTTCGACAATACATAAAACCTTGCTTGTACTAGCAAGACTATTGCTCCTAAATGTTGATGAATCAATTACTTGAAATGCAATTCCAATGTAGTGGATACTTCCTATTGCCTCTTGTACACAAAGCAGAGAGTGATGTGTTGCATTACACTCCTTAAAATAACTTGGCATGACTTACAATGTTTGAAGTAAATCAAGTACAAGCTACTTCCTGGCCATTTTTTCAGATTTTGCACAGATTATTCCCAATCTGACTTGTCTTTGGAAACAGTGCTGTTTAAAAAAAACTTTCTTGCAGCAAGAAGTAAAACAGCTTGCTTTTTCAAGAAGAAAATCACTGAAAGACTGTCTTCCATTGTGAAATGCTTGCATTAGGTTCAAGACTGCAGAAACAGAATTACACATTTGGTGCCACTGCACACAAGCCTGCTAATAAATGTCCATATTCTGTTGTCCATTCACTGTACAACATTGTGATTCGACACAGAGATCGTGCATTTTTGTATTGGTCAGCATGTTCAATATGCTGAGGTTCACTTTGCACCATTTTAGTGTTGGTTCCTAACCATGGTCTTTTTACCCAAATAGGGAAACAAAAAATAAAACCTCGGATAAATAATGCATTTATAGTATTCTCTCTCTCCCTCTGCAGGGTATCAATGTCTAACTTTTTCTTTAAAAAAACCACTTCAGGTAGGACTGACAGACTGATAATCCTTAAGACAAAATTACTTGTTAACACAAAACAAAATACAATGGACATCATACATATGGCTAGAGCATCATCATAATTTTGAAAGAAGGATGAATTTGAAATGACAAACATGTTAATTTGGTTGAAATGAAGCCTGCTCCATCCCAGTCTCTTGTGAGTAATGGCTGAGGATCCCCCAATACCCCACTCCACAATTTCACTATTAAGAAAGAACATTTTTACCAAGACTTGTTTTTAAGAATTAACTTTAAGAATTCATGAGATTAAAGGATTATATGAGATGAATGAAAACTACATACTGTGTTCCCAAGTAATTGTGGATTGTTTTGAAGACTTGAAAGGACTGCTAATAATATTGAAATACTGAGGTCTCAGAGCA